GCAGCAGACCCCTGGGAGTCAGACAACTCTCTGTAGACAATGACAGAGGATCTGCGGCGCTCGCTAACCTCCTCATCAGGATTTGCGAAACAGTCAAGGGAAGATGAGGTGGTAGCAGCACCAGACGCAGCAGCAGCATCGGCAGCGTAACTTCCAGGTGTCAGTCTTTGCTGTCGCCCCTGTTCTTCAGGAGACAGAAGACGCATGAATTTCGGTGAGGGTGGGAGTCCGGTTCGAGAAGGCTCCTCCGACACGCGTTTAATCACATCACGTACATACTCAGAGAGGTGAGAGAAGTTCTTGCGTTGACTCCCGCGTTCGACATTGAGGACAGAAGAACTCTCCATCAACTGGTCTTCAGCCGAGGTAGTGGGTCTGGAACTGCTCGCAACCGACTTATTCGCCTCCTCGTCTTCCGAGGCTGCTGCAGCAACGCCCCGCGCAGGGGTGACAGTATCGTTTTCGCCTGCCGACCAAATGGTTTGCTCGGAGTTGTCTAAGAGTGGTAGCGGAGCCATTGGTGGTAACGGCTGTGTGGCATCCCCGTCTAATTCGGTACTCTGAACATCGGCATCAGTGCCCTCCGAATCAGAGTCCTGCTGAGGACGCAAGCCAACACTTAGTGCTTCGGCGATTGGGTCCTGGTCATCGCTTTCAATGACTTCGGGGGGAGAAATGAGAGATGTTATGTCGTCCTCTTCATCCTCTGCGTCCGTCAGGCCTCGGCGTGAGTGACGAGCCAAGGGGCTTCTGTTAGAGGGATTGCGAGTATCCTCAGCAAAGCCGGTACGATAGGTGCGACGATGGGGTCTAGGAGTGTAACCACGTAATGAAGAAGTGCTACTACCGACAGTCATTCTCTCATTGTCAAGGACCGAGCGAAGACGGGAGGGAGGAAGAGTGTCAACTGCAGTCTCATCATCAGATTCAGAGTCTGGGCAGGCAACATCATCTGGAGCAGCCGCCAAGTTCATGGTAGGTGTCGTCAAGTTCTCAACTCCAGCCTTAATTAGTAATCAAGAAATGGAAATACAAAGCGATATTTCAATATGATGTATAAATTGTTTCATCAAAATTGACAGCAAGATAAAAGGTCAACCTTGGGTGGAATTTTAGAGCTCCGTCTAGACTAATACGCCGGATATAAATAAGCCTAACAGAACAATGGTGTCAAGCGCACAGCGAAAATACTTTGAAAGAGCCGACTTACTGCAAACCACGGCAGAACAATGTTAACTTACAGGACAGATAGGCATACCTAGACTTCGACAAGCTTGTAAGAAGGCTTGCTCGAAGTACTATTATGGTTCGTCCGCAGACTGTCAATCATCAGAGTTACTCAGGTAGACTTGCGAAACACCAATTTCCAAAAATATTATGTGGCATAGAGAGAAAAAATATTGACGGAAATTGTGTGGGTAGTAGTAGCAGTAGTAGTAGTGGTAGTAGTAGTAGTAGTGGTTGTAGTAGTAGTAGTATTAGTGGTTGTAGTAGTAGTAGTAGTAGTAGTAGTAGT